TGAGTGCAAGAAGATAAGGGAACACGTATGCTTTGAGGATTATGAGTATGTATTTTTTTTTTTTTTTTGGCAAGAATTATAGGAGAGTTTTTTCTGAGCTCTACTAGGGTAGAGACTTTCATTGCTTGCAGGCTTATATATTTGTGAAAAAATGGAACAGCAAACCTACTCCCCAGCGATGGGCTCTGATGACAGGGGAACAGCATGGAGACATCCAAACTTCATTTGATGAGGGTTTTCTTATCACATAATCTCAAGTACTTTGAGTAAAATCGAGAATTTAAAACGATGCCAAAGAGAACTCCAAGAACCCTAGAAGGATTTCAGAATGTCCACGCCCACTAAAACTCTTGTCAACAGTCGAAAGAGATAGACAATCACCCAGAACTGACTTCAGCATTTTGTAGACTCCATTCTATAAGCTCTGATTTTTTGTTGTTGTTGTTGACGTTGTTTAAAGTAGAAAAGACGTAGCTATGGTAAATGTTGAACAAGGACTTTTGCCGAAACAGAAGTGAAGGCTGATGCTCTAAGATCAGAGAAGAAAGAGAAACAACAAAAGGCAGATAGAAAGGCTTTCAAAACACAGCAGGCTGGGAATATAGAATGAAGATAAACAGGCATGCATGTGTTTCAAGCTATTGAAGTTGTTAATGTTTTTCAGCCTGCAAAATAATTGATGTGCATATAATTATGTAAATGAGTTATTAGGAAAAAATATGGGGTTAAATATTCTTGTTTAAGAAGGAAGATGTTAGAAAAATTTTTATTTTAGAGAGGTTTAACTTGGAAGATTTACAGAAATGGAACATCAGAAATGTTTTAAGTAAAAACTAAAGCTTTCATGCTTAAAGAGGGAGTCTCTCAGCTATTTAGCTAGTGGTAGTGTGGCACAGAGCAATGAGCACAAGCTTTAGAATCAGAGAACTTTGGGGTATGTGATACTGAGTAAGTTTGTTATTGTATCTCATTTCTCTTATCTGTAAAATGGGCTTGATATGCATATAAAAATGGGGTTGTAATGGGGATTGAGTTAATTAAGTTATATATCCTAAATATCTGGCACATAGGTGGTGATCATATTAATGAGATAGCAAATTTCCCATAATGATAAGTAAATGATGCATTTTGAATTTCTTTTATGTGTGGTAATATTATTCAATAAAGAGTAAAAAGAGCCTAGAGGAGTCTGGCCTTATCCCCTTCCCTGGTCAATTTTAAGCCAATTAATTATAAGACATCCATGTCAGCAGAGTATCAATAACAATCTTTGGGGAGTTAACCTGCTATGGTAACTTGCACTGGCCCACACTCTTCTGAAAAATGAATTCTTACACCAAATTAAGGAAAGGAAGGAATTAACAGTTTGTCAAATATAGCTTTTTTTAAAAAAAAAAAATAGGTATTTCAACTAAAGTACTATAAGTCATTATGGTGGAAATATAGAAAACCAATATGATTATTCTTTTTATTTGGTATAATTAATTCATACAGAACTTATATTTTCCGGGCTCTCCAGTATTCAATTGTTTCTGAACTACAAAAATGACACGTACATATGGTTCAACCTAATCATTACCAAAACAAAGGTAATTTACTCATTGGCTCATTTGATTTGTAAGAATGAACAAATTAAAGGATATATGAGTTGAATATTTTGTATTATATTTTGTCAAATAGTTTTTCCATATGGAAACTTATGTTAAGAAATATATGAAGGGAGAAATAAAGTTGTCAGTAGCATTTGCTGTTCTCATAAACTTGGTTTCATATCCAACAGCTGGTTTCTCCTATTCAGGAGTGATTCAAACCCGAATCCCATACAATTCTTCAGTTTCAGAATAGGAGACGAGTTTGTGCTTCCTAATCAGTATTGAGTGCACTTCCAAATTGCACTGAGTAGTCACTGGGCTTTCTTTATTTGTGACTTTGTGACTTTTCTGGACCCTGAGAATTATTTCTGATCCTGGATAACTCAGCAGATTAATGGGGCTTTTATTGAGTGTTACAAAAGTGGCTGAGCTACTGATTTAAAGATGATGAAAATTGTTTTTCCTTGAATAAACCCTTGATTTTCTTTTTACTTTAAAGATTTTCTTCTGGAAACATTGAGATACCTTAATGAATTTAGTAACTGTAGATTTTGGTGGAGTGATAGTTACAATTAATGAAGTAATGTTTTACTGATATCTTTAGAGACTATTAAGCCCCAAGCTTTGTCTATGAAGATTTGCACCTTTGTATGCAGATCTGCACCTTTCTACTCTATAAAGTCATTTCGCTCAAACAGAATCTCCGGCCTCCATTGGCTAATGACAGAAATTCAGAAATATTAGCTAAATTAATTGTTTCATGTGGTTGGTTTTTAGAATGTTATAACCTATAATGGAATTACTGAGTTGAGAGCGTTTAACTGGTTGTACTTGAAATATATTCTAACCAAATGGTATACTTGGCATTCGTTATGACCATTTAAAAACTACTGAAGAAAACCATTGATAGATCTTAGTGCCATCAAAGTGAACCAACTAGAACAGTATAAAAATGCCTCCTATCTGTATAGTTCGTATCACCTCAGAATCTGAAAAGTCATTACGATACTGACTCTTAAGTATGGTTCCAGAGCCCCATATTTTTAAAGGGGAAAGTGAGAATTTGGAATACTTTCCCTAGGCTTTTAAAGCCTACATAAATCATGGAGGGAGAAATAGAATGTATGCTCCTCATGTCCAGGACTCCTGTGTTAGAAAAGGAGTTGAAAATTCAGATCCCTATCCCAGGGCCACAGAGATCCTCGGATGAGTGGAGATGACAGGAGGCCTCAGGAGTGAAGGCCGAGGAAGGTGGAGAACTTGAATCAAATAGCCTTGTAAAGGTGCCAGCCCCTCTTAGCTCCACCGGCTGTTGTCATATGGGGATGTGGCTCCAGTAACCAGTCACAGTAACCAGATACTGTGACTTTCAAACAAATTCAGATGTGTGGAATTTCACATGAAATAATCACATATTTGATTGTTGGTAACAAAAATTCCAATTTTAAGTCCTGTGGGTGAAATAAAACACATTTGTGGGGTGTCAGGAAGCAACCTCCAGATTAGATTCTAACACCCTGGTACATGGATAAGTGCTATTAAAGATGAAGGATGTTGAAATGCTATCTTTCACTGATATTTATAATCCATTGATGGAAATGTTTTTTAAAAATAAATGAGGGCATTTCATTAATCAATAGATAGTAGGTGCCCACTAGGTGGTAGCAACATATTCATTATCATCAATATTTAAAAAGATAGATGTATTTGCTCCCATTTTCTTGTTTATAAGCAGGTTTGTTGAAGAAAAAAAAAGGAATTCCTGATAGGGCTATAAATTGTTGGGAATAAAATATTAAGAAAGGATAAAGGTTGTATTTAAGGGGTGATTCTACAAAACTGCAGGTAGAATAAGAGGGCTTTTCAAGTTTCTTCCCAGCATTGTGTTTTGTTTGTTACATTAATACAAAAAAGCGGGTGGTGGTGGTAGAAACTGTAAAGAAGGGGGAATATGCGTATGTTACTATCCTAGATTGTTGCTCTCAAACTGAAATAGTATGTTTGACAAAGTTGAAATGAAAACTTTATATAGATGTAGGGTGGGAAAAATGGAGAAATATACAGATGCCATGAAATAATTTGTAGTTCCCTGAGAAGTAAGAAGAGAAATTTAGAGAATCATGGAGCACAACTACTCCAGACAGCACGCAGCATCTGCTCACTGGATAAAGCAAGGGGCCAGGAGTTTCTGGTGCTGGCATTGATTGCTGTGGCCCTACAGGAACCGAGTGTTACCTTTTGGCACTCAGATCACTCCATGTGTTAAAAGAAGACAACACATATCCCAAAATCATTTTGTGCATCATTTTTGACATCTATAAACCATTTGCAGATTTTTAAAATCGAGGCTACCACAAAAGCAGGGAATGTTATTCTCCCTTTCCATAATTTACAGAATTAGTGAAGAATTGCAATGGCCAATCATCAATCAGATGCCTAGTGGAATATTCTTGTTTGCTTTTCACTGCTGCTCACTCTGGAACCCATCATATTTATTTCCAAGCAATGTTCTATCACTTTTGCTTTACATTTAATTTAAATGGAAAAGCAGCTCTAGGCTGATTCATTATTTAAATTGTGGTCTCCATACTCTTTCTTCTGAAATTGAAGCATCTATATGTGTAAGGATGCAGTTAGGCAAAAAGATGAATGAGTTACACGCTAAAATCCAGGGGTCCAGCTATCGAGCATGAATTATATAAAGTTCATTGTCCTTGTTTGTATCTATCCTTTACAAGTTGTCCTTTGGTGGCTTTGAGTGAGATGCTAGCTTTATATTTGACTCACAATCTTACCTTCATTCTTTAGAAAAAAATATAACATAAATGAGAAATTCAAAGATAAACTTTATAGACAAAAACATAGTTACCTCTTCTCATAGCTTGATGCATAATATGTAAAATATTTTTCTTTTTACCTATTCTACTTATACATGAACCACCAAACCAATCCCCAAATAAAAGCAAGCATAAAAAATAGTCCACACCTTACAGAAAGTACCTAATGCCTTGCAAGAAATTAGATGAGTTCATATTAATTAATGTAATCTAGCATCTAACCTTGGGAATTGGCCTCAGTAAATACAATGTTCTCACAGTTCTCATCAATTCAATTACATTTTTACAAGTATATTTTGCATATATGTGTTTATGTTTCTATATATGTATTTACATGCACACACACGCTTTTTTTTAATTGTGGAGAGTGATATGTAAATCAGAGACCCTAGAATATAAAACAGAGAGAAAAGGAAGCCTTATCTGTAAAGACCTGGCTGCATTTTGTGCACTGTGCCCAACACAGGACTGTACCCTTTTGAATATTGGCATGTTAGAAGAATCTAATCGGGGAATAAAATGGATTTTTAAAATAAGACTGTTTTGCGAGTTCTCTCTCCCAGAACTGTACCTTCCGGAGAGGCTTGAGCTTGGTCTCCATTATGAAGTCATACTTGCAGAGCTCGCAGCAGCGTGTGTCTGAGCTCTTGATCCACTGGTGGAGGCAGGACTGATGGACAAAGCGCAGTGTCCCTGTGCAGCGACAGGGTGTGATGAGGGGGCTCTCTTCATCCCCTTCGCAGTGACAGATTCTGAGGAAGGATACAGAAGCCAGTATAAGATCTCCCAGAGGAAACTCCTCACCAGGGTATTTCTACACTTGCTTATACCAGGCGCTGTTATTAATAGAAATTGCAACCTAAAATTTAGAGCACGTGAACATTTCGCTCTAACTTTGATGCTAGAACTGAATCTATGATCAATACGAGTGAAGCATCCCTAATCCGAAAATCCAAAATTTTTTGAGCACCAATGTGATGGCACAAGTGAAAAATTCCATACAGTCAAAATGCAGGCCCATGAAACACAGTTTATTCAATGTCCCCAAGGGAAAAATAAAATTACCTTCAGGCTATGTGTATAAGGTATATATGAAACATAAATATTATAAATTTTGTGATTAGACTTGGGTCCACTCCTAAGATATTTCATTATGTATCTGCAAATATTCCCAAATCCGAAAAATTCAAAATCCAAAACATTTCTGGTCCCAAGTATTTGAAATAAAGGATACTCAACCTGTATTAATTTATTTTTACTTGTATAATCACTTCTGGACTCAGGATATGTGATAAGTTGTTAGACACTGGCCCATCAAAAATGCACTGTCATTTCACCCCTACACTGAAGCCAGGTTTAACAGTACAACTCTCAAGGTATGTCCCCCGCTTAGTCTACTCATAGGTTGTTGTCTGTGGGCTTTCATATGTAAAAGTTATGAACTTATAATTGTTCTAAGGAATGTTGAAGTCTCATAACTTCATTGTGCTATTTTTGATGATAGTTTTATAAGGCCATAATGTATAATTTAGTAAATATGGTATCTTATCAATGTGAATAAATTTGGAAAAAATTTTAAGGTATAAGCAAAGAATGAAGTTTCCACAGAAAGTCTTAAACTGGAAATATTACAAAGATTTTCTTAGGAAGATGCATAGCTATTTGGTCACATTGAATGGTCTAAAATGTCAATAATCATCGTTGTATAAAAGTCACAGAAATTTCTGGTCACATAAAACTCAAGTACAGTAAATCCTATTGTTTGAAAATGTTAATTACTATATCTGTCAAAAAATTTAGTTCAACTAGTTTCTGAATTACTATGAATTCTAATTTCATAGATTTGCAGTCTATGAAATCATAATATTTCATATTCAGATTTTTAAAAATAATTTACTTTCCTCTTTGGATGAGATAAGCCTTTCATAACTCTAGGTGGTGAATTCAAATCTTAGCTGTTCAATAATTCTAATGATTAACCAGCTCTTAGAAGTTGCTAATAAATTTAATTAGAAACATTGCTTTAAATGTGTTACTTTTAAAAAGTTTTTAAAATCTACATAATTACTTTTTAAAATCCGAGTCACAGTGACAGGCTGGAAGAATGTATGAACTGCTGCTACAGTTCTTTCTTTTTAGGTAGACACAACCTTCCTTCAGAAGCGTGCTTTTTAAAGAGTGAATCTAAAAAATGTGTGTGTGTGTGTGTCTATATATTTGTGTGTGTGTATGTGTGGGTATATGTGTGTATTTGTGTATATATGTGTGTAAATACGTGTGTATATGTATATGCATATGTGTGTCTATATATGTGTGTATGTGTGGGTATGTGTATGTATGTATATATGTGTGTAAATACGTGTGTATATGTATGTGCATGTGTGTGTATATATATGTGTGTATGTGTATATGTGTGTGCATATGTGTGTGTATATATGTGCATATGTGTGTATATATGTGTGTGTGTATGTGTGTATATATATGTGTGTGTGTGTGTGTGTGTGTATGTCTTAGCTATCTCCCCAGGGGAAATGAAATGGCTACTCAAATTGTTAGTGCAGAAACATACAGGAATTGAAACTCAACACTCTCGCAACCTCAAAATAAAGAAGTAGGACAGAAAACAGTAGCATTTTGCACCCATTTCTTAAGAAAAGTAAAGTAAGCAAAAATGAATACTGACATCTAAAGTCCTGGGTTGAGTGATAGAATGAGAACACAGGGAAGTTCAAAATCAATGTCCCCTAGCCCTGAGCTGAGTTAGAAAGTAGGAGTGTTGGATGTAGCATCACATATAAAAGGCCAACGTGGTGGGGAAAAACTACAAATTTTCTGAGCACCTGTTCTTTAATATCAAAACCTGAAATATCTCCTCTTCAAACCTATTCCTAAGGAATTGGGCTCATTACATTTTGTATCATGCTTGTTTGTTGCCAATGCAGTGTCGCAACACAGGTGGTCAGCAGATCCTAGTAGAATGGAGTTGAATTCAGTCGACAAAATATGACTTATTATAAAAGTAGCCATGAAAGTAAATATTAACTTTTATAGCACTTAATTTAGTTGTAATATTTATTTTTGGAGCTACTGAAATCCAATGAATTATAGAAAATAAGAGGTTGATATTTCTTAAGTCTTTGAACCTCCATCTCCTGCCTACCTACAGAGATACTCCCTTCAACCAGAGGTCAGCAAACTATAGCCCAATGCTGTCCACTGAGTGTTTTTAACCAATAAAGTTTAATTGGAACCAGCCACATCCATTGGTTTGTGTGTTGGTTAGAGTTGTGTTTGCAGAACAACAGCAGAGTTGAGTAGTTGCTGCAGAGACCATCTGGCTGTAAAGACTGAACTATTTACTATCTGGCCCTTTTCAGAAAATGTTTGCAGACCCCTGCCTGAAAGTACACATGTGATTTCAAGTTAAAGACAAAGTATGAATATTATCAACAATAATGAAAACAAATTTTACAAAATAAATCACCCGACTTCTGCAAGTAACAATACAGCGAAGTGAAGGTTACATAGAGAACACACACTAAAAATAAAAGCCCCTCTTGGCCTGACGTGAATGCCTGCTACTTCCATGAACAAAGTTTCTCATTGGAAAAAAAATATTTGTAATTAATGCCGTTGGATAATTCATCCCGGAAAAAAGATTGTGTCAAATGCTCTACAGTTGCTGAAACGATTCTGTGGCTCTAAGTTTTTACGGTCATGAAAGGTAATTTATTCACTAGCAGCTTTAAACAAAGACCTAACTGATTACTGAGTTCAAACTGACCTTACCAGCATACTGATTGTAGTCTAGCTTCCTATGTCTTATAAAATCCTTTTAAAAATCTCTGCTAAAACTGTTACCTGAAGCACCACTAGCAATATCCTTTTCTCATAAAATTACAGTTATTTCCCATAGGGAAAATCAAAAGTTAGATTCATTTTCATTCCCATTTCACATGATTTACTTTTTCATGTTTTTAGCATTTTGAACTTTTTCTAAATTATTCAGTTCAAGTTGGACCCCAAGAGTCTTTTCAAGCCATGTTGAGATTGTTCTAAATGATTTTAAGAGCTAAACATCAACTTCAAATATCTACTAGAAATAAAAAATAATGTGATAATGCTATTAAAGAAAGAATTAATTCCTAAATTGATATACTTCACACAAATCACAATTGCTGAATTATAAATGAAAACACAATAATGAAAACATAAACATGCTTTCTCCAACAGAATAATTGTGTAGACAAAATGATTTTAATGATGCAATAAAATTACATTGTAAAATATTCATAATTTTGATATCTTTTTACCTGATGGGAAGTTGAGGCTTGGGAATTGAGTGATTCTATAAAATCATTGATGATCCACTTTGGTGTCTGTCACTTCGTGACACAAACAAGCTGAATTCACAGATTTTACTGGCATTTTAGTATTTTAACAATCTGCTTACATCTAATCAGCATGTGGTGAGACCGTCACCATTTATGACTTCAATGAGCTGGTATGTCCACATGATTTCTAGCTTTCTGTAAACAGCAGATCATAAAATTCTGTGTAACAAATTAAGTTTTAGAATTCTTTATTTTGTATGTGTGCCGTGCTTAAAATCCCTTGCCTTAATGTTTGAGTTTTAAGAAAAGAAATTGTTTTTTTGGGGGGGGGGAGGTGTCTTATATTTCTTAAAATGAGCTTTACCAGTCCCCATCTCCTCCCTTGCCAAGGTTTCTTGGCTCTTGTAGACTAATATATTTTTTTCTGTATAATTTTTTTTAATGCACCACTTAAAAATCATCTTTGTAAGGGCTATAGTGGTTATGCAACTTTGGAATGTTTTATTTATTCATTCTTTCATTAATCATTTCATTCATTCACATTTTCTTAGTTCTTGTTCTGTGCAAAAGAAATCAGACAGCAACAGCATCAGTATGTAGGGCTAATTGAGAGGGAGAGAAAAGGACCTGGAGGCAGGGACCCTATTTGGGCAACTATTGCAATTATCAAGATAGTAAGAATCTGGACCAATGTGTTGACCTTGGGGTGGAACAAAGAACCTCCCAGCCTTCAGGGTCCTCCAAGGACCCTGCTTTTTTCCCCAAGATTAGTTGTGGTGGCAAAGCACATTTACAGTAATATTCAACTCCTGAAGGCTATCACCCCTGCCATCTTCATACAGCCTCTCATGGACAGCTTCACAACTCTCTTCTCCCATATTCCATGCCATTTTTCCCCTTCCCTTTTTAGAAGCCTATCTTTCTAATGCTAGCCCCTTGCTTCCCTACCTACCTTTTTCTCCAAATTCTTCTCTAAGTAATTTTTAAACGCAGTAATTATGGCTACTGCCAAGTTTGTATTGGTTTAATTTGGCTGTTAATCCTTATTCAAAGCTAATCATCATGCTTTGGAGTTGGGCACTCATTCTCAGAACTCACTTTACTGAGCTAAAAAATTATTAGAAATATTTTGGGCAGAAGCCATATTGAAAAGAATTAAGCAGTGGGTGAGAAATCAGTGCTCAAATAAATGAATGAAGAGATATAATCTCTCTATCTCTCTCTCAACTTAGCAGTGAAAGGATAGGAGACTAGAGAAAGTTTTATTTTTAATTTAATTTCATTTTATTTTTAACAGGGAAAACATGCACTTGTTGATGAGCAGAAGTAAAGGTGCCATGAAGAGGTAGGCATTTAGAAATCACAGGCAAAAGAATACCCAGTTGTTAGATGAAGGTTCTTGAGAAGCCAAGAAAGTA